TCATTCTTAGGCCATCAACTATGCCACCTACCCCACCAACACCTCTAACCTAGCCCGCAATTGTACCAAGGAGTCTCTAGTAGAGAGACTCTATAGGTATAAGATCACTAACTTTTACAGTTCGGGGGATGATAACCCTATAATAGTCGATCAGTAGTTTAGAGAGATCCTACACACGCTTTGTCAGTTGTATCTTACCCCGGAGGGTAAGCTTAAGTGTGTCACCACCCTGTTGAAGAGTGACACCATAGATTGATGGGAGACAATGGAACTGGAACTAGAGCCAGAGAGACCGTCACGGGAGTATTTCCTACTAGAGTTTCGTCATAAATATATTAGGGAGACTCATAAAGATGACTTGAGGGATCATTTTTATACTTGGTTCAAGGGGACCGGATAACATACGAGTATGAGTGGGAGTTTCTCCAGTTGAGTTGATATATATAGGAGTTGGTATCAACAAAAGACCATCGATGTTGGAGATTTAGAGAAGATCTAGACCTTGACATTTTTTTTGTATTTAGTCATTGACCATCCGAGGGTCTTTGCCAAGTTGATCTGCGAGGCGAAAGAGATTGAGAGGGTCCAAAATTTGAGGGCCACAAAGACGAGTGCAACAATGAGATACGCCAGGAGAGCTACTGAGCTAGTGAGGTCCTCTCAGACACTAGCCAAGAGAAAATTTTATGCGACACTATTTGTAAAAATAATTATGATGTATTTTTATCTCGTCACTGTTATGGTAATAACTATGATGATTATTTTTTCTCACAATCAAGTTCTCATTATCAGTATATAATTGTGACACAAATTTCACCGTCACAAAAATTTTGACAATATTAGGATACGCAAATTAGTGTCAATTATTTTCTTGGCGAGAAATGATATAAAAATGATGGCATATAAAGTAATCATTGTTATTTGATATTTGTTGTGACAATAAAGTTACTTGACACTTCAAATTTTACTTTTTGTTGTGATAAATATTGACATCAATAATAATTAAAATTGTTGTTAAAATAAAATAATTTGTTAAAAGGTAAAATTTTGTTATTAGTCTCTATAATATGTGCAAATTGTAGTTTTAGTTATTGAGGTCTAATTTAATCAATTTTAGTATGTATACATTTTAAATTTTTAAATTTCAATAAAAATCCAAATTGTACAACGAATATATGACTAATATATGAACCTTAAGCTTTTAAATATATTATTTTTTATTAACTAAATAAATGAACGATAATACTATCAATTTTGACAGTGCCATTTAATCTTCAATTATCATTAGTTTTTTTCCAAAAACAAATGATTAGTTTTTATATATAATTTATGATCTTTATTGAGATATATATGAATTTTGCAAACATCAATTAATTATAAGTAATTTATTTTTTAATTTAGTCCACCACATGGGTTAATACATTGTCAAATATTTTATTTTATTTTTTAAATATAATTTAAGAACAATTGATTTATTTTATATTTAAATCTTAACATTTAGATGATTATTTTTTAAAACTAACCTAATTATTTTTATATTTATCTTCCACAAACGTATTTCATAAGAGAAATCATAGAAAATTTAATTAAAATATTATAAAAATTATATATATTAAAATAAATAAAATTAATTCTAACAATAGTTTAACATAAATATTTTTTGTCAACATCAAATATTTCTTTCATAGCATAGTGGTTAGGCATTACACTCTTTCCCTGAAAGTCGCAGGTTCGATCATCTTAAAAGTCATGCATTATATTAATTTATCAAAAAATAACATGCGAAACCAACAACCAGTTGTTGGTCTAGCGGGATGAGGCACATGATGGGTTGCGAGGGTCGACCTTGCATATGTAGCCACCACCCAATATGAATTAGTCGATTAATAAAATCAGATATTGGTGGCTATACAAAAAAGTAAAAATGTGGGGATGCCACATCATCTATCGTTTAACTAAATAACTAACCGATGACAATGATTGCAATGCGAGCTCTTAACGAATGTGGATACAATTAAAAATGTAATATCTATATACTATAATTGATTTCATAATTAATATTTAAATTAATCAATTTAGTTATGTATTTGTGACAAACTATTTGTCACTAATAAGTGTAATATTAGCGTCTAAATTTTCGTTATTGTTATTGTAAATACTCATTTTGTCCGGGGCCTACACCAGCAAACCCAATACAAGCATAATTGAAACATGCCCCGCGACCAGTCACATGCCGATGATGTTTCCATATATCAATCGATGAAGAGAATATGAGCTTTATGACAAGAATAATAATCTTTTGAAAAGAATATTATTATTTCCGAAAGTATAGTAGATCCAAATCAATCTAAGAATGAAAATAATCTCTCTTTTATTAGGAGATATTTTCAAATCTCTTAATGAGGGAAAGAAGATCCTCTTTGAAGAGGATAAATAGCTATTCCTGCAAATCAAAAAGGGGTACGATCCAAACAAAAAAGAGAAGGCAACAACAGCAGCAAAATTCACCGAGGATAAATGAAGGAATAAGTCGAGGACGGAGCTGCTAAGCCAATTGAAGGATTTGAAAACAGAGCTTGCTGCCCCCTGCGTTTCTAAGGGAACAAGAGTAAATCACTTCCGTCGTCCATTTTTTATTACTTCTTCTTCTTTTGGTCCTATTTTCATTTATTTTTCTTTTGTTTTTGATTTGTAGTTTTTCATTGATTCCGTTTTAGTCCCCTTAGAGTCTTCAGTGTTCACTTGACAAAATTCTTACTTGAGTCCTAAAACTCTATTTTTACTTTGATCTTGATCCCTATTTTATTTTATTATTCGACTTAGTCACTATTCTTTTATTTATTTAACTTCTTAATGCATTTACATTTATCTCTTTCCTTTTTCATGGGCCTGCCCTTTAATTTATTTATATCCTTGCATTTTTTACAGTTCAACGCTCATTTAATTCGGACTTAAAATTTGATTGATTGTGTGTAAATTACTTTAATCGTTCCATTCCATTTATTCAAGCATGTATATATGTTAATTAATGCTATAGGAATAAAGGTTCATAATAAATATGATTGTATTCGTGCTAGGTATTGGCGTGTTTTCCATTATAGACACGTTAAACCTATTTTTTATTTATGTGATAGCTTTATTATGTAAATTCCTTTTGTTTATTGTTTTCCATGATAATGTATACCTACATATATCAATAGAAGGTTAGCATGCGAAAGTTATTAAATTATTGATTTTGATTATATTTTGTTGGTTCGTAATTGTGGTTATTTATCATGCATATGCATGTAATTTATCTTGAAAGGCATATGGGCATGTGAATGAATTACCTCTAAATAACATGACATTTTTTACATGAATTGTATGTCAGCCTCATATGCACAACTCGACCTAATTACATAATTGGATTAAGGGTAATACCCTTTTAATTTAAAATTGTTTTGAGAGGCTTATCTTAACTTATTAAAGAGCCGCTTTTAATTTTAAATCGAAAGTGTATCCCATCAGTGACACTTATAAAAAACTGATTCGTCATTTGAAATTTGGGAACGAAAGAAAAGAAAATGTTTGGTTATTTAAATTTTTTGAGAAAAGATTGTTAGAACTCATCTAAGATTTGGTCCCGATGTTTTTAAATAATTGAATATTCTTCATCTTTCTAAAAAGGATTTGTAATTTTAATTTAATCTATTTTGGTGCATTATAATATTATAATGGAATTATAATATTTGTTTATTTCGATTGGAGTAAGAATTGATTGCTTCAAGGCATGAGGGGTTTGTTTCTTCCCGATAGGAAATAATTAAAAACTATTAGTTTCATTTTAAAATTCATAAATTGTTGTTTTATGCAATCATGATCTAAAGTAAATTCGAATTTGTAAATTTCGTTGCAAAGACATTAATTAATCGATTAGGTACCGATTTAGGGCACTGTAGGGGTGCTAATCCGTCCCCATGTGTAACTGACTCCTGAACTCGAATTTTGGTAGCGCATACATCAATTTGTTGTTTTAATTAAAATTAATAATTTTATTAAAATGACAAAATATGTTTTGGGTGCCCAATCACACCCTAAACAAAGATTGGTGGAGACTCCTCAAACCATACGATTTTATTTTAAAAAGAATCACAAATTTTTCGAAACAAGAGGTTTTTCAAATCACATTGGTTTCTAATTAAAAATTAATCAAAGGAAATAAATTAAAAATGATGTGGCTTTTAACATCTCACTTTAAGAAAAAATAATTGTTTCGACAGTTATTAATCTTTCTGTGTCAAAAAATGTAGTTATAAAAAATACAAGTAATAGTGAAAAAATTCAATAAAGTCGTCACTAATATAATAGTGCAGAGTTATTGATAATAGTGTCAAACATTTGTCACTAAAATAATACTTAGTGTGCCAACATTGGTGGTCACAAAGTATAGTCACAATTTTTATTGATAATAGTATCGAACATTTGATCACTAAAAAGTACTAAGTGTGACAATATTGGTGGTCATAAAATATATTTTTAGTGTCAAACAAATTCATCGCAATTTATATTGATAATTTTGTCAAATATATGATCGCAAAAAATGAATAATTATGACAATTTTTAGAATAATTGTCACTGATATAATAATGACAGAATTATTAGTGATGACAAGTGACGACTTGAAATTTTTGTCACTATGCATTTTAGTGTCTAAATTTAATGCTTTTGGTGATCATTTGCATAGTCACTAAAGGTGCATTTTCTTGTAGTGAGTTAGCATCCTGAGCTTGAGCTTGACTATGAGAACCACACACAGAGTCATAGGTAGCAACATTAGCATTGTACGTGCTCCGATGGGCAGAGGACACCTCACTGCCTGAATGCGCTTTATCATTGTTAAAGGACACCCTTAGGAATGTTTTGTCAAAGAGGTACTAGCAACGATCAACAAGGTGCTCATTCTATTCACACAATTGGCATTGAAATCAAGCACGACCTCAACCACAACCCCTTTGATAACCTTAAGATTGGTCGCCTTTCAAACTTGAAAATGTGTTTGCTTCTGCGTCTTGTGAAGAGTTGGTTACAAAAGATTGATCCATATTAGCACTAATACTCAAACCATTGAACTGTTCAAAATTTTTTTGTTGTTGTAACTCAACATCAAGCAAGATCGATATAACTCCATCAAGAGTAATCAGATCACGATTGTCCAATATGATAGTAACAAATAAACGATATTCAGTAGGTAAACCTCCAAGGATGGTGGCGATCCTCTCTTGATCAGACATAGGACTGCCACTAGTAGCCAGAGCATCACAGATTTCCTTTATTTGGGAGATATACGATTGCATGTTTAACTCCCTTTCTTTACTACCTTTAAGCGATAATACAAATTCATGGTTGTGGTAGTGGACTTACTGACAAAGAACTTGTTAACTGTGATCCATATCTCGACTATAGACACTACACCAACCAGTTGACGGAGGAGTTGAGGACTCACAGTAGACAGAAGCCAAGATACGAGAAAGCTATCTTGAGCAACAAAATTTTTATAGTCTTTGTTGTCCATTGTATCTTCATGCTCAATAACCACCGTCTGTGACGCCAGTTGAACTGATCCAAGGAGCATTTTCTCTAAGCGATGACTCCTCATGGCAAGAAGAAGTTGTTTCCATAGCAGAAAGTTAAACTAGTCAACAACTACGCCTATTTTCTTGTTTGAAAATATCTTCTGAGGAACCACCACAATTCCACTAGACTTCGTCGCCATATCACTAAAGGATGCACCTCTGACCATGACAAAGACGAACCTATCACAATCGAAAGTAATAAGGATCAGCAGAACCAACAACGAATGATATACCATATTGGAATCAAGAATATAAGGGTTTGGATAAATGAAGTATACGAGAGAACTTAAGGAAATAAGCAAGGTATTGTAACTCCTTCACTTGAAAAAGCAAAGAGATGACATTATTATATAGCAGATACTACATCAGTTACATGTGAATAATCATGTAACAAACCATAGCAACTGCTACGCCAACTCATCAAATTCCTTTAACGACTCCAACTCCAGCTCACCAATATCTGCAGACTGACCATCACTCTAAGTTGACCAACGTTCCTTTCTTCGTGGACTAACAAGATGGTCTAACCAATAATGTCCATTAATTAAAAATTTTAAATTTGTAAACTTCTAGTTTACCATAACATGTGATTCAATCTCATTCGTTTAAACTTGTAAACTTTTGGTTTATCATAACATATGATTTAATTTATCATGCTCCAAATATAATATATATATGTTATAGTAAAATAAATTGTAATTGTGTACCTAAAGGTTCTTCACGATGTCATCATCACCATGGTTGTTTTCACATTTAAGGTTGAGCGTTCGATCGCATCGAGTTAAGTCGAGTTAAAACATTTTGAGTTACTCGAGTTGATGAATCCTATTTTACAATTCAGATTTGACTTAAATTTTTTTCAAGTCAAGTCGAGTTTATAAAATTTGAGTCGAGTTGGAATTTTCGAGTTTCTATTTAAATTTAATTATAAATATTTATAATATTATGATATTATTTGATTTTAATTTAAATAGTTTTTTATGATCATATAATATACATATATATAACAATCCATTCCTGTATGATTTTAGATAAAAAAAAAAATACAATACATATTGTCGAAACGGTCCCCGCGGCTTTTTAGGGCTTTTTCAGGGATAGATCCAACTTAATATTGGGACATGTCAGGTTTTAAATAAATACACAAATAGAAAAATTTGGAGTCGTCATCGACCTTTGGGTTAGGTAAGTCGAATAACTAAACATATCTTTTAAAATAATTTTAAGAAAAATAATTTTAAAAGATAAAAATTTGATCTGTGTTTGACTAGAAATTCACTTTGAAAAGGGTTCGGGAGTTGGTTACGTGTGAGGAAGGATTAGCACCCCCACAACACCAAAAATTGGTACTTAAGCGATTATACGTCATCTAATTATTAAATTGGCAAATTCGATAATATTTAAATTATGATACTTAAAAAATAAAAATTGGATATTATTTTATACGAATAATCCTTAGAAAAACACTCCTTGTCAGTTAAGGCGCGCTTCTATAAATTACTAGAGTAAAATAACATTTAAAAATATTATAATTAACAAAAATTAACAAATATGTAAATAAAGAATTAAAATAATAAATATAATAATTTTAGTGATTAAATTATAAAACTAATAAAAGATCAAGGCAACAATTATAAATAATTAGTATTCTAGGCACTTTAATTAAAAATAAACCAATAGTAATATTCAAAATTAAAAAAATATTAAATTTGATGATTAAATCCTAAAATAATTAAAATTCTTGGCCAAAACAGAAAAGTTATACAAGCTAAGTACTGGCAGTGTAATTTAATCATAATTAAATTTCAGGATCAAAAAAAACAAACATTAAAACGTAGGGACTAAATATGATATTTACCCAAAATATATATAAATACGGTTAGTGACTAAAATAAAAAAAATTGAAAACCAAATTAAAATTCACATAAATTAATTTCAGTGACTAAATCGTAAAGTTACAAAATCTGAGGGACTGCGGGAATGATTTTCCCACGCTCAAAATACGTAGATACCCCAAAAACGACGTCGCGTGGGGATGGGTATTTATATCCCAAAACCAGGTCTAAAAGGCCTTTATTTCTTCATTTTTTCATTTTCTTTCTCTCTCTAACAGAGAGAATTCTTTTTTTTCTCTTGTCTCTCTCTAAAAACACTCACCGGAGGGAAACAGACCACCAGTTCTGCCGTCGTACACCAGCGTTCTCTGCCGCCGTCCACAGCAGTCGAAGTTTGACCAAAACACACAAAATGACCCCATTTTTCTCCTGTACTCGAATTTGAACCCCTTTTATCCTAAAATCTTTCCAAACGTAGTAGATCTAGGTTTTTTACCTTCGAACAGACGAATCTCCAACGATGGTTAGAGGAATCCGATGAGGCTTCAAGGGTAAGACTTTCTATTATCTACTATTTTTTTCTTTTTGAATGGTTGTTGGTGATTCTTAGTGGTTCTACGTGATTCTGTTGCCCTCTATCTCTTCGTTTCATTTCTCGTTCAATTTTTTCCGTTCTCTCCTCTTTCGAATGGATCTCTATCTCTCTTACTGTCCTCTTTCTTACAGATGAAGGGTTCCTTATATAGGAACCCGTGGTACATCTCTCGGACCAGTCAAATGAGGGAAGCTCGGTGAGTTATCGAGCTATGGCGGTGAACCAATAGGGGCGGCACCGATTTATAGCTGGGTGCATTTAATAAACCTAGATTTTTTTAGATCTGGCCGGTGCGGCGATAGTGACATCAACAGTGGTGAGGTGGCACTAGAGGCGGTGACTAATGAATATTAGGGTAAAAAACCCTAATCTGAGATCATCTAGACCGTTGGATCTCTCACAGATCCAAGGGCTTGTTGGGGTGATTCTAGGACTGGATTGGGTTATGTTGGGCCTGGTTGGAGTCCATCGAGTTTGTTTGTAATTTAGGCCCCCGGGTTTGTTGTATTTGTTGTAACAAAAATTTAAATTATTAATTATATAATTATTATAATTATTATTATTATTATTATATACATAAAAATATATTGGGACGAAAATGTATGTCTACAGCTGCCCCTCTTTGCTCATTTTTGTGTCAACAAGAATATGGCAAAGACAAAAAGACAATGAGTTTTCATCTAGTCAACTTCATTTTTAATGGGAAATCTGCTCCACTCTTCTTTCAAAGAGATAAGACTTGATTTGTGCCTCTTTTCGGGTAGTCAGATCAATTTTGGAAGACGAGTCTGCTCTACTATTCATTCAGTGGGATAAGACTTGAGAAATCTTTGGAAAATGGGTATGTTCCACTCTTCTTTCAAGGAGATAAGACTCGAAAAATCTTTGATCCACTTCGCTACTCTTTCGGGAATATTGAATCGAACTTGAAGAATTTGCTCCACTATTATTCCGTGGAGATCAGACTCGAGATTGATTTGCTTTGCTTCTCTTTCGAGAAGACTAAATCTGAGATATAGAGAATATGTTCCACTACACTTCCGTGGAGATCAGACTCGAGATTGATTTGCTTCGCTGCTTCTTCTGGAAGACCAAATCGAACCTAATTTGCTTCATTGCTATTCATGAATATCAAATAAAAAAGATTGACTTCTCTTTACGAGGAAGTCAATGATTGATTCTACTGGGGAGTTAGGAATAACAAAGATTGACTTCTCTTCACAAGGAAGTCAAGTATTGACTCTACTAGGGAGTCAGTGATAACAAAGATTGACTTCTTTTCATGAGGAAGTCAAGTATTGACTCTACAGGGGAGTCAGGGATAACAAAGATTGAATTCTCTTCACGAGGAAGTCAAGTATAAGAAAGACTGACTTCTCTTCTCTAGGAAGTCAAGAATAACAAAGAATGAAAACATCCTACCCGAAGGTTTTACGGATGGCCCGAAGGACTTATCATCTTGCTCGAAAGACTAACAGGTGACCCGAAGGATTTAATCATCATGCTCGATAGACTTACTAATGGCCCGAATGACTTACAATTTGGGAAATAGTTTACTGGGTAAGAAACTTTGGAAATCGCTTTCTTACTTTTTCAACAATTTCATTTTCTGAAAATATTAAATGGGAAACTTTGGTAATCGCTTTCTCATTTTCATGTGAAAGCATCCTACCTAAAGGTCTTACGGATGGCTCGAACGACTTAACATCTTGCTCAAAAGATTTACAGATGACCCGAAGGATTTAAGCGTCATGCTCGAAAGACTTACTGATGGCCCGAAGGACTTATCAATTTGGGAAATAGTTTACTGGGTAAGAAACTTTGGAAATCTCTTTCTTATTTTTTAACAATTTCATTTTCAGAAAACATTAAATGAGAAACTTTGGTAATCACTTTCTCATTTTCATGTGAAAGCATCCTACCCAAAGGTCTTACGGATGGCCTGAAAGACTTAACATCTTACTCGAAAGACTTACAGATGACCCGAAGGATTTAAGCAGCATGCTCGAAAGACTTACTGATGGCCCGAAGGACTTACAATTTGGGAAATAATTTACTGGGTAAGAAACTTTGGTAATCGCTTTCTTACTTATAAAAAATTCCATTTTCAGAAAAGATTTAAATGAGAAACTTTGGTAATTGCTTTCTCATTTTCATGTGAAAGCATACTACCCGAAGATCTTACGGATGGCCCGAAGGACTTAACATCTTTCCCGAAAGACTTACAGATGACTCGAAGGATTTAAGCATCATGCTTGAAAGACTTATTGATGGCCCGAATGACTTATCAATTTGGAAAATAGTTTACTCGGTAAGAAACTTTGGAAATCTCTTTCTCATTTTCATGTGAAAGCATCCTACCCGAAGGTCTTACGGATGGCCCGAAGGACTTAACATCTTGCTCGAAAGACTTATAGATGACCCGAAGGATTTAAGCATCATGCTCAAAATACTTACTGATGGCCCAAATGACTACAAATTTTGGAAATAATTTACTGGGTAAGAAACTTTGGTAATAACTTTCTTGCTTTTCAAAAATTTTATTTTCAAAAAAGATTTAAATGATAAAACTTTGATAATGGCTTTCTCATTT